TTTGTCCAATCACAATTATGCACAATTGGCAAGCTACACATGTACACAACACCTACACCACAGCTGAAAGAAATGATTCAGAAAGCAAGCACGCAGCTGACCGTGTGGAGGTTCCTGGAGGGTCCAGGATCCAGGGAAAGCATGGAAGCTGCAGCTCTTCACCCACATCTCAGTCTACCTATCTCTTCATCTGTGTTCTTTTACAATGAACTGTGTTCATGTGTTGTTTGTGGTAAATGTGTTTCCTTGGGTTCTGTAAGCTGCTCAAGCAGATTAACCAATCTGTGGGACCTGATGCTGTGGCAGAATTGAATTCGGTCAGAGAACACCTGGCTGGTATCCACTGAAGAGCTGCTTGCTTATTTGCTTATAGGGAAGAATCCACATGCAGTTTGAGATCACGGATGTGATCTGTGTTTAAGTGTACAGCAGGAGAAACTGAGGGTAAATTGAGTCTTTTTTTCTTTTTTTACTACAACAGGTGCATAGCAGAGGGCTGTGACTGGAAGATGGATCTTTGCTCCAGTTAAAGAATTTTTTAAGAATCAGAGATGCACTTTAATGGGTTGGTGGAGTGAGTGTCTTCTCACTACTAGGGCTGCAGTGTCAGGAACGCAGTAGAGAAGATCCGGGCAGGAACCACAGAGCCTGCCTCGCAGCTCTCTCCCAAGCCCAGTTACTCAGTCCTGTGAGAAGAAATATTTATGACCCCTAAAGATCTCTGGGGGCCAAAAAATGGCAAGAACTTTGGAAAAACACCCTCCTTCTTATAACTTAATAATCTTTACTGAATTCTGCATTTGTTGTCTCACTTCTTAATTTCTGAGGTTTTCTCACACATCCCCACCATGACAAAATCTTTTACCAAATCTACTGCTTCCTCTCCGATAGCTTCTGATAAGGGGGCTTTTTGTCCTCCATGTAAGACCGACTGCCAAGCAGTTGTATTTGCACGCGTGGCTGTGTTTTGAAATCTTCTGTCTGTCTTTGGTGGCGTAGCACTGCCAATGATCTACCTGTTTCTTCTCTTCTAGTTTCACCTTCAAAATGTTACTACAATAAAAGTAATTCTCAGATCTTGACTGCATCTTCTCCTTTTCCTCTTCCTCTTCTTCTTGTTTTTTTTTTTTTTTTTTTTGAAACAAGGTCTCACTGTGTAGCTCAGGCTAATCTTGAACTCCCTACGTGACCCAGGCTGCCCTTGAATTCATAGTGACCCTTCAGCCTCAGCCTCCCAAGTGGTGGGGTCACAGGCACATGCCTGGCCTCTACAGTTTTATTCTGATTCATAGTGTCTGTGACTACTTCATGGAAATTTTCTACTTCATTTTCATGGTCACTTCCAACTTTTTACCTAAGATAAACATACACAGCTCAAATCTTGGAAGCAACCAAGATGCCCATCAACTGCAGAGTAGATGAAAAAGATGTGGTATTTTTATACAATGGAATATTGCTCAGCTATAAAAAAGGATGATCTTGAGGTCTTCATAGGCAAATGGAGACAACTTGAGACTACTCTCATTAGTGAAATAAATAAGAATCATATTTATAAATATCACATTGTGTCTCTAGTGTAAAAAGTAATAAGAAATGTAGGAGTAGTGAAACCCAAAATGTGTAATTGCTATTGTAAAAAAGAGAGGAAAAGAAAGTGATCTAAAGAATATAACTGCATGTATGTTAAGTGTGTAGGATACCCATGTTACTAAGCTTTTATTGGATCATTGAACAGAACTGTTTGCTGTCTTGCTGTTTGGTTGTTCACTTTGTATGCTTTACTTTGTAAAACATACTGTAACTTGAACAACTATTTCTAAGAGGACAATATGTAATTTATTAACTAGTGATTTCTTACTGTTTTTAAAAAATTATGTATCTTTTCTACATTTTTTCTGTTTTTTTTTTCTCTTTAAATAAAATTTTTAAAAAAATAAACAGCTCACTCTTGAAGTTTGGGTGAGGTGCATGACTTTTTTTTGGTACCAGAGATCAAACTCATGACCTCCCGCTGGCCAGGGAGGCGTTTGCGCTGCTGAGCTAGACCTCCTCCGGCCCAACGTGATAGCATTTTAACTAGCCGTGTTCTTTGTGGCTCTTTCTGGGTGGCAAGCACTAACAACACTTCGTAGAAATGTGATAGGTATCTGGTGAATATGTGGGTCTCAGAGTAGAGCTAGGCGCCTTCTGTGAAAGTCACTGGTGATCAGAGCTGATCATCAAGCCACGTCGGGCCTCCTCATCTCCGAACAGAGAGGCGACTCTCTCTATGTCTCGAAAGTCTAGTGAGGCAATGAGAATCTGGTCTTACTTTCAGCAGGCCCAGAGTAAGCCGGCATCCTTCGCTTAGGGTGCAGCTTGGGGACTCAGGGACCGGGTGGGCTGTATTGCCACACTGCCCTCTTGTGACTATTATGGGGAATTCACCTTGGGCTCCGATTTTTTGAAAGCCTCTCAGGTAATTCCAGAATTCAGGGAACCTTGAGAATATTGGCAAGCTTAGGCCATGTGGAAGTGGTCACGTGATCACTTCCAAAATATAATAGACCTACTTTTTTGGTAAATAGAGCTGTATTTTTCTATTTTTCTATTTTTCTATAGCGACAAGGGCACTAGCATACTTCTACACTAGCAGTTCATAACTGGCGAATATTTGTCCACCAGGGAACATTTGGCAATATTGGGAAACATTTTTTGTTTCAGCGCTGGAGCTGCATCTAGGTTCCTACACGTGTCAGGCAAGCATCCTACCACTGAGCTACAGCCTCAGTCCATGGATCCACTCTCATGGTCATGATCAAGGGTCAGAGATGTGATCTTTCGTGAGTAGAGGTAGAGGATGCTGTTTACCATCCTTCAATGCAGAGCACAGCCCATCGTGACAAAAAAGCATCCAGCCCCAAATGTCAGTAGCCACAGTTGAGAAACCCAGCTCTAGATTTCTCCGTGTGGGGAATTTGGGGAAGTTCAGTGCAGGGGATTACTCTGAAGTGAGAAAAATTAAACAAACACGGCCCTCTGCTCGGTGAAGGCGGTGGTGGTGGGCTCCTGTTTAAGGGCGGGGGCACTCAGCTAGCCCTTGCCCACCGCCCACCTACCCTCCACCCCACCCCGGCCTTCGACTGGGGAAAGAAAACCTTCCAGCTCATCCAGTCCCCACGGTTGTCTTCAGCGCTCGTAGCTGAAGCCGTGGAGACCCAGGCTATGAAACGTGCCCAGCTGTAGTATATGCTGTGCTACAAATCCTCCAGGAAACACAATCTGCTTTGTAGACTGGCTGTATTTATTCTTTGCCGAAGAGTAGAAGCATAAACTTCAGGAGGTGACTGCGCTCCCAGGGGCTTCCCTGCCCCCGTGCCAACCCAGCGTGTTCCCTGCAGCCCTCACAAGATGCCTGTGTGACTTCTAAGGAAGCCCGGGACTCCATCCAGCTGCGTGTTTCAGAGCTCCAGTTCCTGCTAACTGTTCCCCCTGACTTGGTAGTTTCGATATGCTTGGTGCAAGAAAACATTACGGAGACACATGAGGAAACCTGACTCTGGCTCTTGGCACTGTTCCTTCAGCCAGAGCAGAAGGCGAGCTCTGGCTCCGCCGAACCGCGTGGAAAGACTCCAGTGGCATGGGCATTGCTGGGAGGGGGTCTCCTTCCTCCCGAGAACCTGGGCCTAGGCTGGCAGGGCTTAAGGGCAGGTATTGTAAGATCAGTGGCCTAAAGATCTTCCTCTGAAACATAGCCTCCCTCCCCAGTCAGGTCTGGAGCCTAGAGAGTCAGGAAGTGTGCGAGGGCAGGCTCTCCTTTTCCTTAGAAAAGGAGAAGTCAGCCACCGGCAAAATTCAAGGGTTGGAAGCCGGGCTTCTAGACCAGAATAAACAGCTGCCTGCCAAGTGTGTTAATAGCTTTAATCTCGGCCCTCTGAAAGGCTGAGGCAGGCAGATCAAGAATTTGAGTCCATCCTGAGCAACTTAGCAAGACTTTGTCTTGAAATTTTAAATGGCTGGGGATGTAGTTCAGTGTGAATGCCTTAGGTGCAGTCCCCAGTACCACATGCACACACACACACACACACACACACACACACACACACACACACACACACAAATATGTATGTGTGTATATATGCGCATGTGTGTATGTAGTAACTTATATAGTGATATATATGTAGTGGAATATACATATATAGCCTAAGATCATACAAAGGTGACATAGTGAATATTATTATTTTTAATTAGTTTTTGCCTGTCCAGCATCTGAGCTTCACTTGTTTTAATTAATTCTTTATTTCATAAGTAGAGCCTGCCAACAACTATGGGAGCAAAAAATGTCACATACCCACGTTTTAGCGGTCCTTGGAGGCAGGACGTGGGTGGTTGCAGACAGTGCAGCAGTGGCCACGACACAGAGTCTCTGACTCCAGCAGGGGCCATGAGGCAGCAGCAGAGCCCTGTTCTAGTGCTGTGGACAGCACCATGGACCTGTGGGGCCCCCGGTCGTCCTTCCTGGGCTGGCTGTGCACTTTTGGCTGTCACCTGACTGTCCATCCTCTCTTTTTCTTTACTTGCAAGGCGTAGCTGTGCAGAATCTCCTAGCACTTATTGGAGTCAATTGATATCTTTTCAATAGGTTCCCTTTCTACATTAGAAAAAAAATCAATCCAATGTCAGATTCTATATATTGAACTAAGAACATTATTTCAAAATTTGGAACCAGGAAATGACATGCTGGGAGCAGCAGAGCGTAAAATGTGAATTAATCCTTTAGTGGGGGTAAGAGATAAGGCAATAGGGCGTCAGAGGGCTGAGTGGGCACTGGTTTTCCTTGTTACACAATGGTATGGTGGTTACTTATTTCTTAAGTATGTACCAAAATTAGACAAAAACTGATAGGAAAAGAAGAGCTAAAAATCGAAAGATGATCTATCTAAAAGCAGAACATAGGAAGAAAATGGGACTTCATTGAAAAAATGTTTCTTTCTGTCTGTAGCCTATAATCTAAATAACTGAAGCATTCAATCATTTGAAACAGTTGGATAAAAATAATTTAATTATCTTCTTGAAGATAAAGTTAATGTAAAGAGAGGTATTCAGGGAGTAGGAGGTGTTTGGCATAGATGGACCTGAGATTCCACACAAGGCCAGAGATGTAAAATGGGCTCAGAATGGGGGTGGACAGTACCTGACTCTAGGCTCATCGCGCGGAGTAAATAGAGAAGTCAGATTTAAAAGTCATCTCGAGAAGTGAAACATCTCCCCAGGGACAAGTACCTCTGAGTATCCCAAGTTTCTCTGTACCAGCATGACCAACACCGGTTGCTTTTCTTTAAAATTGAATGCTATTCATATAGAACTGTAGTTTTAAGAATCTTTTTCATTTTTTATCGGTACCAGGGATCAAACTCACAACTGCCCACTTGCAAGGCAGGCACTTAGGCCACTGAGCTAAATCCCCATCCCCAGTTTTAAGAATCTTAGGTGGCTTCCCTTCTATTGCGCAAAGCTCAGAGACCTTAAAAAAATCACTCTTTCAGTTTACTATTTTTAACTTTCTTTCTTCAAATAAAATATTCATTCTTTTATAAAATTATCCCTGAGTGTTTTACATAAAATAAAGACTCCCCCCCACCTCATTTATTCTTCATTCAGAGAAACAGAAATGGAGGCATAAAGCCTCCATCAGGTCTGAAGATGATGAGGATCCTTTTTCAAAATAAAGTACAGACAGTCAAAATGTAAACTTTTCCAGACTGGCTGGTGGTCCGCTATCCACGCATTAGATGCTCAGGCTTCCTGTCTTGGTCCATCCTAGTAAAGAGCGAGCTGTCCAAAAGTCTGGTCTCACATTATCCACTGAGTCTGCTACATCACACAGATGGAGAGCTGTATCAAGGAGCTCTCTGTGCTGTGCCTATGCCAGCTGCAGAGCAGGCTAAACACTCGGGGACCATCCCTGCCATGTCCACTGCTGGGTATGGAGACGCATCAACAGAGAGTTGATCCAAAAAAGGGTTCAGACATGCAGAGCATCTGCACAGAGAACATGGGGCCTGTGGCCATGTTCAGTGTTCAGTTTGGTTTTCCATCCTCCTTCAGAAAGTCCCATCACTAGCCTTGGGTGTCAGCTTTCTGGAAGTGTCACACTGGCGTAGACTGTGATGGGATTTGGTTCCTGTAAACAAAGGAGAAGTCATGAGCAGAGAGAAGAGGCACTACTCTACAGGCCGGGCAATAGAATCAGGGAAAGGAGAGGGGATCTGTGATCATGTAGCATGACAACTTGCTGCGGGACACCGACAGGGCTCTGCTGGAGGCACTACTCAGGGGCCCAGGCTGCTTCTTGTCTTCAAACAGGGCTCCCATTCAAGCATTAGTATGCAATCCAGGAGCCCAGGACCCAAGTCCAGTGGTCTGAAGACCTGTACTCAGTATGCTATGTCTCTCTTTATATTGCCCCTAACCGTCACCCTTTCCCTGCCCTGCCCTGCCTCCTCCTTCCTCCCTTATCCTCTCCTCCCCCACTGTTTTTTGGTACAGGATCAAACTCAGGAACTCGTGCTTGCCAGGCAGGTGCTTGTTCTGCTGAGCCAAATCCCTGGCCCCCTTCCCTTCTCTGTAACCAACCATTTACAGGTAAGGAACCAATAATTACATTTTGGAGCTTTAAAAAGGGCAAGCAAGACCCAAGGGAAGAGGAGGAAAGAGGAATCAGCAGGAGAGAGGGAGAGAAAGGAGAAGAGGATGGGGGGCAAAGGCCTCCTGTAGCCTGAGGAGAGTTAGAGAAGGAAAGTGAAGGCAACAGGCGAGTTAGGAGGTTTTGCTGTAAAATGTAAATATACAGCTTTCCTTCCCCTAAGGGAACTTTATTTTAAAAATCTATTTTTTTTGTTTTGTTCCTTTTCTAGTCAGATTTATATTTTTGCTTCTATCTTGGATAAGGCAATGTACTGAGAGTAGATGTCAACATGAAATCTAAGCCCAGCATGGTGGTGTATGTCTATAACCCTAGCACTGAGGAAGGCTAAGGCAGGAGAATTGCAAGTTTGATCTCTGCCTAGAAAACTTATCTTGTCTCATAAAAAGAAAAAAATGGGCTCATTGGTGCAGCACCCCAGATAAGGGGGGGGGGAATGTCTATTTGAAACAGGACATTGGCTCAAAGCATATTTGGATGTACATGCAGGAGGACCTTTGGAGGATAAATGTAGGCATTTTTGTAGCCCCTTTCCTTGGTAGTCTTGGCTGTCTCCTAGAATTCCCTGTCTAACAGAGTCCAACTGGAGCCAAAACTTAAACCCAGAATCTGTTGCTGTTCATTTAGTGAAGGAAGGATTCCTGTGCTGGTCTCACAATGGGTTAGGAGAGTTGAGTCTCACTCTCGGGCAGCTCACGTTCCCATCTAGCTTACCACCTCTGCCGCGCTGCTCTACATATTCTGACTCAATGCAGCTGCAAATATTTAGACATGAGCATCTTTTATGATTACAGAACAAGGTTTTAAATTAATTTTATTAACACCTAATAATGGTACATAGGAATGGACTATAGTCGGATATTTTAATTGCCTGCCCTGTTCTGATGTAAGAGAGCCCTGAGTGGGAGGCTGGGGAAGCTTTCTTTTTAATCAGCGCCGGGTGATTCTGACATGATCTTTGGACAATCAGAAAACACCAGCCAGTAGGAGTAAGCACAGCTCATTCCATGCGAGCAGGACATGGGCCTCCAACGAAGCACTAAAACCAAGGCCACGGCTACTCCTGTTTGCTGTGGGCAAACTTCCCAACCCAGAACTCAACGGTTGGTTTCATTTCATCTCTACCAAAAAGAAAAAAATCTTCCTCGCCCTCAGCTCCTCCACCTACTCCCTCCCTCTTTATCCTCTACATGAGGGGAACAGATGCCTCACCGGGGCAGACTCTGGAACAGGCTCGGTGGCGGCCACATAAATGGTGGTACAGGGGTCCTGAGTTGGCGGGGGGTCAGGTGTCTGCTGAAGAGACTGCAGGAGAAGCAAAGAAAGCAGATTAGCTGAGCAGACTTCTCATTCCCATGCATTTCTCCTCGTGGAGAAACATAGATTCAAGATGTGCAAGTTTAAGAGCTCCTTGGAGCTATTTGGTCCAACTTCCTTCTCCATGGTGTATTTTCCCAAACTACCCTGGAATCCAGTCCTCCAGACTTTGCTCAGACTCCACAAGTGACACTGCAGGAGTCACAGCCTCTGAAGACAGCCCCATTCATTGTTAGTACCTCCCAGGGCTAACAATGTGTTAGAGACCTGCCTTGCAGTGAATTGCTGTGGTTCTTACAGGGGCCATGGAAGGGGTCTTAAGAGAACTTAGGCAGCCTCATTCATGCCACCTGGCACATCAGCATTGGTTCAACCCCATGCTCTGTCCCTGTTACTAATCACCCTAACGCACGTCCTGCCATTGACCTCACAACCACATCATCATTATTTGCATTTGCCAGTGAAGAACCTGAAGCTCAAAAATTTAAGTACTTTCCTAGTGTACATATGTATGACATGTCAAAGCCAAGATGCCACCCAGGGCCTTTAACTTAAAGCATATGCTCTTTCTGTGGCTGGTCTTCCTTAGTTACTTCATTCTATAGCCTTCACCTAAATTTCTCAGGCATTTAAAGTCTATTTTACATATCATGGCAACCTAATGTTATACTTAAAACACTCTCATATATCTATGTGTTATTTCCTCAAACAGACTGTAAGTTCCTTAAAAAGTAGCCTATGTATCTGGCATACTTCCAGCTTCTTGGGAAGCTGAAACAGGTAAAATGCATGTTGGAGGCTAGCCTAGGCAACTTGGTGACATCCTGTCTCAAAATAAATATAAATCAATAAAATTTAAAAGGTCTGGGGATGTAGCTCAGCAATCTCTAGGTTCAATACTCAGTACTGGTTGTGGGTGGTCAGGGGAAAATAGAAGAAAAGTAAAAGAAATAGTCTATGTTTCTATTCTCCCACAAAGGAGTGCTTGGGCACACGAAAACCCTTTCAGTTGATATTTGATATCACCTTGAATGAATTAAGGTCTATAGTATCAAGACAAGCTAGTGGAGGGGTAAATAGAGATACTCTCCCTGTGATATGGGAGAGTATCCTAACCCAACAAACTGTGGGGGCAGTGGTCTAGTTTAATGCTATTGCTGTTTTCTCCATATATGTGGCAAGAGTTGAAGCCACAGCACATGTGTTTAATGAGAATGCATCTTCTCATCTAACAGACAATTACAGAACTGGGAGACTTTACTGAGCATGCTCTTTCTCTTTATATACTTGACAGATTGCTCTCTAGAAGAGGAAACTGTCAGGAGAGCCTTTCTGGTTTTAGGCAGGATTACACTTGGGGGAAGTGTTTTGTTTCAACAGAGTAAGGATCTTTCTAACAGTAAAATATGCTCATGTGTGAGACGAATTGCCTTGGGAGAGAGTTTGTTTCTCATTCCTGGAAGTAGCTGGGCCTGGGCTATCCCAGGGTTTCTCACTGTTTCTGTGCATAGGAATTACTTTGGGATTCTGTTAGAAAGTTGAATAATTGTTTACATTATTTGAGTCTTTATGATGATATAGTTTAGGCATTGCAAGCATAAACAAGGAAATTTAAGGCTATGGCTAAAGCTATGTATATTTTAATGTCTAAAACAGTACTAGTTATGACTTATATGTTTAAAATATACATGAGATCAAAGTAGTGATCAAATATAGCACATAAATCTGGAAATAAATTGTAATGATGTTAAAATTTATAGTGTAATATAAGTGGCCTAAATAATAAATGCCAGTGAGTCAGAAATGCATTTTATAATTTTGAAGGTAGTAGCTTACAAAACAGAAAAACATAATTTCTAATGTAATGGAGAAAATGAAATAATAACAATACAGTTTTAAAAAATCCTCCACTAAAGAAACTCCTGTCTCAGAGATCACCATCAGTAATTCTGCCAAGTAGTTCAGAAAAGTAGATCAATCTTACCCTAACATTTCTAGAAAATCGCAAAAAGAAAAAAAAAACATGTAATGGGTTGAGTTGTGTCCCCTAAAAGATATGCCTGCTTTTTTTTTGAATAAAAGGTTTTGCAGATGTAAGAAGAGTGAGAATTTCAGAATGAGATTTCCCTAGATTAGGATGTGTTCTAAGTGCAGTGATGTATGTCTAAGAGATGGACAAGAAGAAGACACAGAGACAGAGAGGAGGAAAGTCCTGAGAAGACAGAGGTGGCGATTACAGTAACATGACTACAGAGCAGCAGATACCAAAAACTACCTGGTGCGTCCAGATGCCAAAAGATGAAAAGAACTCTCTTAGAGTGTCCTGAGAGGGTATGTCCTGTGACTTGTCATCTTGATTTTGACTTCTGGCCTCCAGAACTATTAGAGAATCAATTCTGTTATTATAAGCCACTACATTTATAGTAATTTGTTATGGCAGCCTTGGGAAACTAACACGTATTTTAACTTTGTGAGGGTAACGTAATGAAAACTGCACACAAAGACATTATAAGAAGTGAGAACTAAAGGTGAATTTCACTTGGAAACCTAAGGAGAAAAAAAATTTACTGAATCAGGTCTAAATTCGCTCTATTCCAAGAGTGCAAAGTGACTGTGAGTTTTGCAAATCAATATAGTTCATTAGATCAGCAGATTAAATGAGAAACAACAATCCTGTGAACGTTGTCTCCACAGATACAGCATTCACTGCTGATAGAATCCAACATCAACTCATGATGAATTGCAAACCAGTAATAGAAATTCTTTTCTTTTTTCTGTGATAGAATTGAACCAGGGCCTCATACATGCTAGCAGGAAGTCTGCCACTGAGGTACAGCCAGCTTCTAACAATATTCCCCACGTGGTTTTAAAAAAAGGGGGCAATTAAAAAAATCTTCCACAGAAACCATCCTTGATAGTAAAAAGCTGAGACCTTTCCTTTCAGGTTTGGAACTTTACCAGGACCTCACCATTACCACTTCCATTTACCGCAATGTGGGAATCTCAGTAAAATTAAGGCAAGAGAAAACAAGAATTCTGTGGTTAAGAAATGAAGAAATAAAACTATTGGTTTTTATGGATGACAAAATTGCATACAGAGAAAAATCCCAAGTCATCTATCAAAAAATGACCAAATTTACAAATGGGTTTAGTAATATTGCAGATATATGTCAAATATACAAAAATTAATTTTTTATATATCAATACTAAAGAATGAGAAACTAAAAATTTTGAAAAAGCTAATATTGATTATAGTATTCCAAAATATCAAATGCCAACCAGTAAATTATAAAAGATGTAGAGTCCTTTTACTCAGAAATCAAAGGCGATTTAAAGGAAAGAAACAAAAAAAATCAACTTCTGGAACTGAAATATAATACAATAAAGATGTATATTTTCCTTGAATTTATCTATGCAGTCCTAATTAAAATTCTAACAGTATTTCACAAGGGAGGTTTTATACACTGATTTTGAAATATATATGAAAATGCAAAGGACCAGATAGTAAAAAACTGTTCCAGGAAAAGAATAAGTGGGAAGACTCATTTTATCAGACATCAATATTTATAGTAAATATTTAAGCAAGACAGTGTGTCATTGGTGCATGTTTAAACAAAAGTCTGTGGAGCAGAATAAAGACCCAATAAAACATGCAGACCTTGAGTTCTGATTAAGACGATGCCACAGTGGAGGGAGGGCAGTCTTTTCAGGAAATGGTCAATGGAGTATCCACACAGGAAAAAAATAAAGCCTCATCTCTCTAAACCAAACTCCAAAAACCATTTTCAGGTATATAATAGATACAAATGTGAAAAATATACCAAAAAGCTTTTAGAAGGTAATAGAAGAACATTTTCATATGCTGAGAAAAGAGAAATAGTTCTCAGGTGGAGCACAAAAAGAGCTAGCTGTAAAAGAAAAGATTACTAAGTTGTTCTACTCAAAAATTAAGAGCTTTTCTTTATCAATAGATATCACTAAAGATTGCAAAGTCAAGCTACAGATGCAACAGATCATATCTGAAGCATTGACTCATCTATCCAAAATATATAAAAAGCTTACACTAATTCATTTTAAAAAGCCTGAACTCAAAGTTAAACTGGCAAGAGATTTAATAGGCACTTTAAGAAGGAGAATTTTAATGGCCAAATACATAAAAGTTGTTTAACTTCCTTATGATTTGAGAAATGCAAAATAAAACCATAATAAGACACATCCAACAGTATGGCTAAAGCTAAAAAGATTGATACCAAGTTTTGGCTAGTATGGGTGGCAATTGAACTTCTTTATAGAAATGGAGATTGGAGCTGGGCATTGTTCATATGCCTGTAATCTCAGCACTCTGGAGGCTGAGGCAAGAGAATCATAGCAAGTTCAAGACCATCTTGGGCTACAAAGTGAGCTCAAGACAGCCTAAATTACATAATGAAATCCTGTCTCAAAAAAAAAAAAAAAGAAAGAAAGAAAGAAAGAAAGAAAAGAAAAGAAAGGAAAAAGAAACTGGTACACTCACTTTGAAGAACAATTTGGTCTTATCCATTCAGTTTGAGCATAGTCATACTCTATCATTCAGCAATTCATCCACTAGGTATAAGACCAACAAAAATATGTGTGCAAATTTATCAGAAGACATGCATGTGAATATTCATAGCCATAACTGCGTGACTAAAAACCTGAATGCTCACTGATAAAGGGATTTTAAAAAGAGGATGTTCGTGGGGGAGCTAAAGATGGCAGATCGATAAGCAGCAGGATACAGAACTTCCCTGAGAGAGACAACTCAGATGCAGGAATAAAACATTCTGGAGAGGTCTGGACAGAGGGAGATGGGTCCTCTCTACTTAGGAAGAAACTAAAGGGAAAAGAGCTGGCCAAACATGCAGTCCCAGGGCTACCACCAGAGCAGCTAAAATTAGTGTTTACAATGCTCTCACCAGAGCAGCCCGAACTTGCACAGCCTCGACTTGCCAGAGATGCCTGAACCCATG